TTATCTTATCTTATCTTATCTAAGGATAGCAGGATTTAAGATTGTCATTCTTTTTATCTGTCATTTCCTCTTTTAAAGGTTATGTAGTATCACTTTAAAAAGCTCCATTTAGGGCCACAGATGATATTATACAACAGTTTTTACAGCCTGAGCAGCACTTGTTGCAACAAGTAAACTGATATTCATGTGTAAAATCAGTTGAGGTTCCCTTTTACAGTAAAACAGGAATCATAGAACAAATTAATGAAGAGTTATCATTAAAGAGTATCAAAATATTGTAAATTCTCTGTTGTTGTAGATGAAAAAAATCCCAGGTTGCACTGTACATAGCAAAATTATTTTATTATTCTGACCAATGACAGACACATAATAATAATAATGAATATAAATGCTGTAACACAAGATATCAAAGGCATTACTAAATATTTCTAATAAAGCTTAAGAACATAAGAGTATTAAGAAATAGTGTTATTATTGTTTCTTTTTTGCAAGATCATTTATCAAGTCCTCTTGTTGACAGACTTGTTATTGTTATGCATAAAGTAAGTATTCTGATAAAGTTGATTGATTATTATCATCATTGTAGTGCTAGCAACATTTTGAGAAAAACACAATAGTAAATATATTGGGGTCACAGCTTAACAAAAGTGTGCTTTAAACCATGGATTCCCTATACACGTTTGTAGAAAGCTGCCTTTTTAATTGAAAGCATGATCAACATTAACACTGAAATGTACACATTCACCAGATGTTATAGTCTTTGATTGTCCATATAAAGAGCAGTAGACATGAGAAGAAGTGACGAAGTAAACATGAGTGGAGTCTTTTTACAGGCAGATGGTACAGTATGAACCAACCACCTGAGCCCATCCGACATTGGTCGTCTGTTCAAGTGTCTTATTTCTCTTCTCCCCCTCTCTCCACTTCCACAGCACTAAAAATCAATCTGGAACACAAACAGAGGTACATTAAACAAAGGACTCTCACATTAAGGAACATCTTTAGAGTTCATGTAGCTGTTTACTTTTACAGAATGATTTAGGTATTTTGTCTTTTATAATAATACACAGTATCATACAGATTTCCTATGCAATTATACTGTTTTCTACCACAGTCTCTTCCATCTCTGTGCTGCATCATGTGTCACACTGGCAGATTTGATGCAATTATACTGCCTGGCTTTATATGGAACCCCAAAGTGATCAATATCAAATAAATAAATGAGTCATTATGACATAGAGAGTCATATCAAAATAAATGTGTGTATAAATGAAGCAATAATTTGTGAAATAATTTAAGAAATTGTTATACCTAACTCATTATTATGAGTCGTTATTTCATCTCTTGTTTTCATAATATTAATGCTAACACAAACTCTTCACGTTGATGCTGAGTGATAGTCCACGCTTGTTTGTTAGCCAGCTAGGTAGGATGATCAACCATATTAAGGCTTAGAAACTAAAGGTTTGGTTACTGTGACTGTGTTTATTATATACAGCAGCAGTGATAGTTGATTCAGAATAACAGGTGCTAACTGGCTTAATCTGTTTTTTTTATTTGTAACAGCTATGGTGCTCCATAGCTTTGCACCACAAAGGGAAATTGTGGAGAAAGAAATACTTAAAGGTCCAGTCCACTTTTATTGTCTTTATAAATAAACATACAATATCCCTTGAACAGAGTCGAAACAGATGATACCATTGATTATGGTCCTTTTTCACAATAAATATACAGGTATGTAGGAGGTATCAGATTGATTTCACCATTATATTGTGGTTTTCAAAACCACCATAAATGACACCTTGGATTAGTGTGTGTAGAAGTATGTGTATAGATAGAATCTTCTACCCATTTAATGTAATTTTATACCACAGTAGTGATGTATTATGATATGGTACATTTTCTGAACATCCAATTTAGAGGCCATTTATAGATAACCACATGGTAATGGCCACAGAATGTCGCCCAGCCCTCGGTGTGTGTCTTACAGTGGTGAAATGAACGATGCAGGTGGTAGCGATGATGAGAAGGCCGATGATGATGGAGGCAACAGCAACATAGAGTGCGTTCCTGCCCAGCCGCCACGACCCATCATAGTCACCTTGGTAATAGCTGTTCCTTGACTGAGAATAAGAAATCACTGTTAGACATAAAACCCTATCATTTGTTGAGTTGAGTATTGAGTCTCATTTCCAATCGCAGGTTGTCAAATATCATCTTGTTGTCAAACAATGATCATCTGACCTGGTTTAACTGTATCTTCTTTAAGATTTTGGTAAAGCAACACTAAGCAGACAGATTAGCAGTCTGGTGAGAAGTTAGACTGAAAGTTTATATCACATGTTGCAACATTTTGTTTCATTTTCCAACATGGAAGACCAAGTGGGTTTGTTTGACAGGCAGAACAGGTGTGTGTGACTGGGTTACATCTTTAGTGTCCAACATGTTGACTCACAACACAACATGTCAGAACGCTGTGTAACCGAAACACATTAAACACCCCACAGAGAGAACATGTTTTTTTCTCTCTCTTCTCTTCTTCTTATATTAATGGTGTAGTAGTACATCTGCAAACGCCATACGATTATATATACATACATGCCATGCTCAGTCCATGCTCACCATGATAGAGAAGACCAGGGCCACAATGTTGACGGGGTATGCAGGACAAAAGCAGGTGAAAATCGTCAAACAAAGGTAGCTACGGAGTGGAGGTGGAGGTTCCTGTTCCTCTATAGAACCACAGTCAAAAAATGCGCTCCCACTCAGGGAACTTTTCACTTGCGAATTAAGAACTCCAAGAGCCATTGTACCTCACAGCACAGTCAGGGGGTGAAAAACACTCAAATTAGAAAGGATTAAAAGTTACAAATAAGCAGAACCTGATATCCAACATGAAGAGTTGAAGTCTCACTTTTAACTAGAAACCAGAAGTTGAAAACCCTCATATGTTGTGTGTTGGTAGTCCTCTTTCAAAGCTGGAAAAAAAATTAAGATTGTGGGAATAGAAGGAGCAGGAGAGAGGAGGGACAGGATCACTTCCCTGCTGGCCTCCATCCAGGACACTACCCTGTGTGAGGGATCAGACTCTGTTTACTGGCACCTCACAGAAACACACGACATGATGATACATGGAAATGATCCCTGTTGAAAGTTAAGTGCTGTGTAACGTGTTAGAATGTTGTTAACACAGTACACCATTTACCATACACCAGGATTCTGCCGTACCATGCACCTCTCTCTTCTTGTTTGACTGCAGCTGTCACAGTTTAGTTTAAAACAAATGAAAACACTCATTTTCCTCTTCATTCACTGTATCTTTAATGTCTTGTCATTGTAGCTGTTCACTCTTTAAACCTGGCAGATGGATTAACATGCGGTTTGCCTCCCTTGAATGATTGATGTGAGACATCTGTCATGACAAAACCAGGGACAAAAATACCTTTTTCTGAATCTCACAGATACCGTGTATGCGTATATGTGATATGGACAATGTCAGGGCAGGTGTAAAGTCAAATAATGGCCACTTCCCCGGTCTTAGAGGCAGAGGTATCAGAGGCATATCGGCCATGATAAAAGCTAGTATTAATGGCAAAGGGGCCACAAAGGGTCAGGTCATCCTTGTTGATATTTTCTGTCCTGACTGAGTCCTGCCATGATCCGAGTGTAGTTTTAACTCTGGGAATTCAGAGATGTACACAATTATCTTAAGTCCAATGAACTCGTCACTGCCAGAATCCCATTGTACCTGTGTCAAAGTGTGTGAGGTCCAAATTCAGTTTACAGCAGCTGCTCTATCCATTGGAAATAAAGGCCTTGCTCTTTACATTGGGAGTGAAGGCTGTGCATCTCCAGGTTAAATCTGCCTGGGGAGGGGTGTCTTTCTTGATTCTTCCACTAGGAGTTGCCAAAAAATCAGAAATGTTCAAATCCTACACAGTGAGGCTTTCAGTTGCATTCATTTACATAAGGAAGAGAAAAACGGCTTCACACCAGGCCCCTAATATTTCACGCTGCTGCTGGTCCAGTGGTTTGACATGAGTGTGCCTGCGTATACGGTCAACTGTATGATTAAAAAAAGCAATCAGAGTCCAATGCTTTAGAATAATTTATTAGGATTTTAAAATTGAAATTATCAGAAAAATAAAACAAGGAAAAAAGAAAAGCATTGCTGTAAAGCTTGGCGGGGGACAGCCCAAATCTTAAACTTTAACTCAGCTCATGTAGAGCTACAAGCTCCATCCAAAGCATTGGCCCTTTTCCTTACATCAACACAACAAAAGACAGCATTAAAATCAATATACAAGGGGAACAAGATCTCAAAACAGAAAAATATAGTTTTTTTTTCTGAAAATAAGTCTTAATGCCGCAGAATTATCCACACGTCGTCTGCTATTACCAATAATAGTACTATTTTCATTTGTAAGGTAAAAAATAACTTATTGCTTTATTGTAAGTTAAAAAGTTACAGTGTTGGTGTCCAGCAGTAGTTTTATGTCGTGTCCCAGGCGGTCTGACAGAAGAACCACTGGCTGGATCAGGAAGTTTTCTGCTGTGCTGAACATCAAACAGGCTGCAGCAAGAAGGCTGAACAAACAGGCTTCTTGTTTTTGCAAATGTTGAATTTGTTCCAGCTTTTTGACTTTTCCTGCCAGCCAGTGTCGTCTGTACTGAGGTCCTGTATCAGAGCCGGCTGGGAGCGAGACCCTGTTCCATTTCTGGTTCCCTGCCCAAACCCCCTCTGTTCACCACTACACGGAGCAGCAACTGTGTATAAACAATAATATGTTGCTTCCAGAGGAGCACAAATTTAGTCCAACTAAATATGAAATGGGAGGGAGGCAGGGGAGAGGAGCAGATGAGCCAAAATGGAGCAGGGCAATCTTTTTTTTTTTTTTCAGTACCAAAAAAAAATGGCAATCGAAATGCTCATTCGTTGCCAAAAGTAGTTCCATATTACACCTTGATGTATGCGCACAAACACTCACTCACACACACTCAGACGCAATCACATGCACCTTCAATAGTGATAAGAGGACAGAACATGATTGTGATGTTTTCTACAATTGCTTCTCTGAGAATGTCCTTCATTTTGTTTTCACGGCGAACACCGCATAAAAGAACTTTTAAAAAAAGAAAACAATAAACAAAAAACATTAAGAAGTGAATCGCGCAAAAAAATATATATAATATTTTCAAAAAAGAGGAAGTCAAGTCAACCCCCGACCCCGTGAACCCCTGATTTCTCCTGTTTGTGATTCTTCCGACGTTCATCGCCTTAAATCTGAAGTAGTTTTCATGAAGATGCAAGAAATCTGGTTCATCATTGTGTTGAAATTATAACGTTGCTTTTTCAAGAAGCAAACCAAACAAAGTGATGACTTTGTAACAAAACTGTGGTTTAACTGAACGAATATGCCAGACAAACTCCTGGAATTTTTATTTCTCAACAGCTATCGACGGCAGCGCTGTGCTGAAGAGTCGCTGGAGCGGACTGGCCAAAGAACGTACACATATACCGTATGCATACTGATAAAAGTAGTGAGATGACCACACACATAGTAGTAGATGACATCCAGTCAAATCGCTGTTAACCCTTTCCAAACCAACCCATGACATGCCAGCCGGTTCAGTAACCCCTCCACCCCCCCACCCTCCCCTCACCCCAACGTTTATGTACAATATCTTACAGGAAGACATAAAAACATTGCTTTAAAACCAATTACAGAGTAAAATACCTTACAGATTATCATTATTATGTCAATATTAATAACAATATTACAAAGGTTTTGTTTTTAAAGACTAGCAAAATATACATTTTAGTTTTTTTTTTTCCATGTTTCCGTGATGCTTGAGTTTAAAAAAGGACTTCGTTGGATTTGTTCTTCCTTTGTTAAAAACGGTTTTCAGACAAAGACCCATCTCGCACGGCTTTTTCTCTCTCTGTTCACATCAGTAACAGCTTTGAAGGATTTCATGATGAAACAACATATTAAATTGAAATAAAATTAATAATAATAAAAAAACTCAAAATAGTCCTCTGCGTCTTTGTCAAAGATGACAAATTTTTCCTCAGAGATTTTCTTTTTTTTTTTTTTTT